CGACTGCGGGGAGGCGGAGGCGGCGCCGGCGGCGGCGGCCGCGGCCGCCTTTTGCCGGCGCTCGCGCTCCGCCTGCACGCCGCCCTTGGTGCGCTTCCACTTCATGCGCCGGTTCTGGAACCACACCTTCACCTGCGGGCACACGCACACAACGGTTGGATTAGTGATTCCGGCACGTCAACGGCTAAGCTCATTAGTCCCGTTAGTGTAGTGCATGTGTTTATCACGGGAGGTGGCGGTGATCTTCTGGATGGCAACATCCGGCGCCGACCTACCCATCAGCTAGCGGACGGATTGCATGTTGATTCCGGGCTCGTCAACGGCTCAAGGTCATTAGTCCCCTTAGTGTAGTGCGTGCTTTTATCGGGAGAGGTGGCGGTGATATTCCCCCACCGATGGCGACATCTGGCGCCGACCTATCAGCTAGCGGGTATTCCCCTACCACGTATCTCCCACCAGCGGGGCCTTCCACATGACAAGCTCTAAGTTCCCACCATGTGTGGTAGTACAGTGCATGAATGTGTAAATGTGTGTAAGTAAGAAGTGAGGTTATAACAAGGAAGATGAAGTAAGATCATGTGCGGTCCGTGGCTGGCTCCGACACTCTCTTGATGTTGATCGGAGAAACCACGGAAAACTACCGATCCGAGAAGCCCACCGCGAGAATTCTTCTCCAGAAAGCGGCTGAAGAGGGTTGAAGGAAACGCGTCATTCCTTCATCCGATTAACTGATTTTTGATGAAGTGAATCAAGTGGGTAGTTTTGTAATAAACTTCGACGATTCCGCAGAAAACTGAATACTTCTTTCGACAATTTTTAACTAATTGTCTGAATGTAGTATACAGGAATATAAAGGCAGCAAATAAGTATTTTTATGAGTGCAATATTTTTGTAAGAGATAGAATCAATGAATAATGGACGGAAAGTGTGAATACCCCGAGAAAAATCTCTCTAGTGCCAAAAATTCATTTTCCAGATTCGTGTTGAAACCCAAAGCCTTGGAATTTGTTTTACAATTACGATTTTTGAAGGTACAACCTCTTTTTGGTGCCTAGAAACCTTTTTCTTAATTTGTTTCAGAATCTAAAGATAACTCTTTTGGAATGTTTTTAAATGAGGTGTTCATTGTAAATATATCCCCAAAATAGCATCATAATGTTCTATGTTAAATGTTGGGATTTTCGTTAGTTTGAAATGGGCTATTTGGTTTATGATTGTAATGATATTTACTTCGAAATGTAGTTGTTAGTTACTTATGAACCAGAGGATATTTGTGATTAATCTGAGATATTTATAGGTAGAAAATAATCATCCACAACAACTTGTTGTTTGTTTTGGTTGATTATTTCCTACCTCACATTATGGATTACCACAAGATATCTGCTACCGCCACGGAATTGAGATATTTATTTTGAATAATTTGGAGTTTATTGGTATTTGTAGGGGATGCGTTTGTTCATATTGAGCATACGTAGCGCATTAGTCACCTTTTCATAGTTTTATATGTTGTTGTGGAGTTCGTATAGGAGCGAGATTTGTATTTACTGATTAGTAGCCGGAGGTGAATTATTTTGTTTCTTTCATGACTTCTTGGCTGTCCGGGTGACGCCGCGTCGTTGGCTGAGAGGCCGACGTTTCGCCTGTCATACCGCAGGCTTCTTCAGTTGGTCACTATCCTGAAGAAGCCTGTGTTATGACAGGAGAAACGTCGGCCACTCAGCCAATGATGCGGCGTCACCCGGACAGCCAAGAAGTCATGAACTCGAGCCGCGGAAGCTTTCGGGTACACTTGTTTCTTTCTTGTTTGATTTGGTGTCTAGGTGGGCCTGCCAGATGAGCTTTGTACACGTAGGCTTCCGCAGCTCGATTTGATGACTTCTTAGCTGTCCGGGTGACACCGCGTCGTTGGCTGAGAGGCCAACGTTTCTCCTGTCATATCGCACGCTTGTTCAGGGTTGTGACCAACTGAAGAAGCCTCCGATATGGCAGGCGAAACTTCGGCCTCTCGGCCAACAACACGGCGTCACCCGGACAGCCAAGAAGCCATGAACTCCAGCCGCGGAAGCCTACGTGTACATTTGTTTCTTGCTTGTTTGATTGGGTGTCTAGGTGGGCCTAGCAGGTGAGCTTTGTACACTTAGGCTTCCGCGGCTCGAGTTCATGATTTCTTGGCTGTCCGGATGACCAACTGAAGAAGCCTGCGATATGACAGGCGATACGTCGGCCTATTAGCCAACGACGCGGCGTCACTCAGACTGCCAAGAAGTCAAGGTGAGCTTTTGTGTCCAAGTCCGTAGTATGTTGTAGGGTGGCGAGGGGGTGGGCGTGGCTCACCTGTCGCTCGGTGAGGTCGAGCGCGACGGCGATCTCGTATCTGCGCAGGCGCGTCAGGTAGTTGGAGTGCGCGAACTCGGCCTCGAGCTCGCGGATCTGCGTCTTGGTGAAGGCGGTGCGCTCCTTGCGCATCTTGCCGCCGCCGCCGCCGGTGGAGGAGGAGGAGGAGGAAGAGGCGGCCGCGGCCACGGTGGGGCACACCCCCGCCTCGGCGCCCGCGCTGCTCGAGTCTGCAACACACACACGCGACGTTAGGAGGCTCAGGGTTTGACAGAACGCGAAATAAAAAAGTACTGAACAAAAACGAACCGAAATAAATATTGGTTGATACAAAATATATTCGCCGGTCCCGGTGGCCGAGCCGGTAAGGCAGTAGTGCCGTAGCGATCTCGGACCGAAGGATCGCGGGTTCAAGTTCCACCTTAGCCATGGTTGTATTTGTGTTCGTCATTTCACCCACCATCATCACCATGTCATGTCATCTTCACAGTTACCGTGCCGTTAAATACAATAGTGGTTACTAATGTTGATGCCACCTTACAGTGGATAAGTAAGTAGTATTGTCTTAGTATTTCAGTCTTAACGTTTCATTTTTTATTTTTCAATTCAATTCCAAATTGAATTGTGACGACAGATGTGATGATGGTGTGTGTTGATTATGATTTGATATAAAAAGGAGTTTGAGATTTACTATTCTACACTTTTTTTTGCCAACTTACGTTGTTCATAATCCTTGATTACTATTAGTCTTGGTCTGTTTATTTGTTTTACAATTTTTTTGTAGTTGTGTAACTGTTCATAATTTCTTGTACATAATGCAGAGGTTACCGGAAGAATAAAATTGATATTGAACCGAATCCTTTTTTCGAAAAATGACGGAAGACGGAAATATACTTCTTACTCAGATGCAAATTTCTTTAATAAGATTCCTGTATCTTACCATACTTACACTTGGAATATACAAACGATTTTAATGGATACGTGATTGTTATGAAACACGAGGTCGAAAAACGAGAAACTCCGAGAAAACCTGCCAGGAATAGCTTCGATCATCAACAAATTCCACTTGGATTGATCGGAATTTGCAGCTCGGTAGCCAGCGGGACAAAGCTAGCGCACTTGTCGCAACGTTTCTATTATTCCTAAGGGAACACAGACCCTTGTAGCTTACCTCTTTGCTACAACGATTTTTCCAAGTGGTTCACACCCACCGACGGGGGCACCTATGGCTTTTTCGCTTTATCCTCGCCGTCTCACGGGTGACAAAGCACTGATATCCTGTCACGCCGGAACGCGATGCACTGGAAGAGCAACTACCCTTAACATGGGTAGGGTAAGCAATCACCTCCAAGATACCAGCTATCGGAGAAGCTACCGGAATCCTTAATATCCACTCATGTGCCTGAAAGTATCCTAATTACCAAGGGTATCGAGGCCTGAATTTTAACGGAACCGGAAGGCAACTAGGCCTGCATTTTGCGCTTCCGGAAGGCCAGACACCCAAGTGCGTTTTAGTTTAGTTTGGGTTTTTTAATCCCCAAGCGCGCGCACCTGCTTTTCGAGCTTCTCCCCCTCTCGGATTGTACTAAGCCACCGCGAGGCTAGTACCCGGTTTCACCGAAACGCAACGCTCTCAAGATTGAGCTGGAGTAACCTCACCAGCTCGGACCTAACAGCTTTTGAGGTCGGTAGCAAGCTCCACTCCCAACCGTCCGGGGCGAATGCCTCCCCAATGCCCCTGGAGTATCGGGCGTTGCCACGACCAAGCCCAACTAGGGAGCCTCGCGGCCGCTACCCTGCTCTTGCCTTCGCCCCCCCAACCCGCCCCGTCGCATCGCTCGGCCCCACCCCACCCGCCCGTTACCCTGCCATGCCTTCGCCCCCAGCCGCCCGCATACGCCCCCGCCCCCCGTCCCGCCCGCCCCGCCCGCCACCGCCCCGCCCTCGCCCGGCGCTACCCTGCCCTCTGCCTTCCGCCCCCCAACCCGCCCCGTCCCCGCCCCGTCGCCGCTCCGACCGCCCGCCCGCCCCGTACCCCGCCCTGCCCTGCCTTCGTCCCCAACCGCCCCGCAACCCGCCCCTCCTCCCCGACCCAACCCCCACCCCGCTC